TCCTTGTTATTATACTCAAGCCCACTGTTGCAGCCACTGTTCTCAATTCATCTTGTTGAGGGCCTTCCCCTTTTTCGCTGACCCTCCACTATACCAAGCATGATATCCTCCAGAGAACGATCCTTTCTGAAAACAAGACCAAAGTAGGTGAGACAAAGTCTGGCCATTCTTGCTTTCAAGGAGCACTCTGGCTGTACTTCTTCTTGTACAGATTTGTTAGTTCTTCTGGCAGCACATGGTAATTTTTATTCTTCGCCAATACCACAACTCAAAAGCATCAACTCTTCTTCAGTCTTCCTTATTCACTACCCAGCTCTCACATGCATATGAGGCGACTGAAAACATCATGGCTTGGGTTAGGCATATCTTAGTCTTCAAAGAGACATCTTTGCTCTTCAGTACTTTAAAGAAGTCTTTTGCAGATTTGCCCAGTGGACTATGTTGTCTGATTTTCTTGACTGCTGCTTCCATTGGTGTTGATTGTGGAACCAAGTAACATGAAGTCTTCAACAACTTCAATCTTTTCTCCATTTATTGTGATGCTGTTTATTGGTCCAGTTGTGAGGATTTTTGTTTTCTTTATGTCGAGGTCTAATCCATACTGCAGACTGTAGTCTTTAATCATCATCAGTAGCTGGTTCAAGTCATCTTCACTTTCAGCAAGCAAGGTTGTACTGTCTGCATATAGTAGATTGTTAATGAGTCTTCCTCCGATCCTGATGCCATGTTCGTCTTCATATAGTCCAGCCTCTTGGATTATTTGCTCAGCATACAGATTGTTAAGTATAGTAAAAGGATACAACCCCGAAACACTCCCTTTCTTATATTAAGCCATGCATTACCCACTTGTTCTGTTTGAATGACAGCCTCCTCGTCTATGAACAGGTTCCTCACGAACACAATTAAATGTTCTGAAATTCCCATTCTCAATGTTATCCAAAATCTGTTATGATTCACAAAAATGAATACTTTTGCATAGTCAATAAAACACAAATAAACATCTTTCTGGTATTCTTTATTTTCAGCCAATATACATCTGATACCAGCAATGATATCTCTCGTTCCATGTCCTCTTCTGAATCCAGCTTGCATTTCTGGAAGTTCCCTGTCAATATACTGCTGCAACCATTTTTATAGTATCTTCAGCAAGATTTTACTTGCATGTGCTATTAATGATATTGTTCGATAATTTCTACATTCTGTGGGATCACCTTTCTTTGGAATGGGTACAAATATTTATTTCTTCCAGTCAGTTGGCCAGGTACTGTCTTCCCTATTTCCTGGCACAGATGAGGAAGTGCCTCCTGTGCAGCATCCATTTGTTGAAACACTTTGTGATAGTTGAAG